TGAGCTCTACACCAACGTATCGAATGACTCCGCAATGCAAGCCATCCACAAACTTCTTGTTGAACATGAAGGAAGAATGAAAATGCATGGCTTGTCCATCCGGCAGCTTATGACTCACTTAAAGGAGCGCCTAAACTGCTCGACCTTCAGATAGTCTGGGAAATATTACGTACAAATGAGGGCTGGCAATGCGACAGCGACTGGCGCCAAGTCTTGCCATTGCGTTCACGTCTATGATAGAAGCACCTGTTCTCGATCTCCGTCCACTACTCTACTGCAGATATGTAGATGACTGTTTTGTCGTCTGCTCGACGCAGGAGGAGATGGACAAAATGCTTTGAATTATAGAGCGAGCAGTCTGAGTACATAAAGTTCACCTGGAAGAAACCGAGAAAAAACTGGCTTCCGTTTTTGGACGTTCAAATAAGCCTATCAAGTTGCGGATACCTGACAAGGTGGTATCGAAAGCCAAGTAACAAGAGCATTCTTGTTCATTTCCTTTCTTCTCACCCTTCACACACAAAGAGGGCGATTGTGAGAAACATGTTTCGAACAGCCACCTCTGTGTGCACAACCAGAGAACTAAAAGAAGAATCGCGCGACTTGGTTCAGCAAGTAGCCATCTCCAATGGCCCCGAAATACCCAACGAGATAATAGCTATGTAATGGTAACCCGACGAGATACGTTTAAAACGAGTGCGACGCCCCAAGACCAAACACTTGGCCAAAAAAAAATCCCGTTTATGGTGCCCTTTATTAGTTAGCGATTAGGTAAGTGTGGCTATAAAACGGTGCTTAAGAAAGGCAAGTCTACATGTTTCGAAAAGCCACCTCTGTGTGCACGACCAAAGAACTAAAGGAAGAATCGCGCAACTTGGCTCGGCAAATAGCCATCTCCAATGGCTACGAAATAGTAAACCCACGAGATAAATCTAGGAGAGCGACGCGCCCACGCGAAACACTTGACCAAAAGAAAGTCCTGTTTATGTTGCCTTTTATAAGCGATAAAGTAAGCGTAACTATTAAACGATGCTTAAGAAGGGCAGGTCTAGAGAAATCGGTTGCGATAGTAGGAATACCACCCGGTCCGTCGTCAATTAGTTCGTAATCGCCTGTATGACCTAATTTCGGAACTAATTTCGGATTTCGGCGTGTATTTCTAATGCGGCATATCTCAACTTAGAATAAACTTCGTTAATTGAAGCAAAAGAATTATAACCTACATAGCTTCAATGATGCTGAGATATTTGCAAAACTCCGGACCGCGTACACCTGCGGTCTGGAGTTTTGCAAATATCTCAGCATCATTGAAGTTATATTTCACAATGTATACGCTGCCGTTAAAAAGAATAGGCAGCAAATAATACGTTAAATTATAACCTACATACTTTTTTCCAACGTGAGAAAAACGCTCGTCTGTAACGGCTACATAAAACTTCCGAAGGCGACGAAGTTGATAAAGGCAGTTTAGACTTAGGCCTTTTTTTTGATTTATTATTTCGAAGTTATCGAGATACACGAAGTAATGGTTGTCATTAGGCAAGAGGTCTGCGAGTGAGGCAGAGCTCTATCTTAGCCCGGTTCGCTCAATTTTTGCAGCATCGGATGTACCACGTGTGGGCACGCGTTATCGTAAAGCATTCGTCGCTTCTTGTTGACCAATGCGAGGTAGGGCCGCCATATTTTCTGGTGCATTTCGTCGACGTGCCAGAAATACCTCTCAGCCCTAATCGTTACACCCGAATTTTTAGAGCATCCACTTCTCGTCGAAAGCCTCAATACATTCGAGAAGCGGGTCGTTCTAGTTGCGAAAAAAAATCGACGAAGATTTCTCAAGACGGTTATCTCTTTGATCATCATTCAATTCAAGCAGGACCCATTTGTCGAGCTTTATCGATTTTTCAATTTCATTTGGATGTTCCATCACGGTAAACAAAACTACACGAAGTTTTAAAAATGATTTACTTCCTATTCTTTTTAATGGCAGGGTATGTTGCGAAATATAACCTCAATGATGCTAAGCTATTTGCAAAACTCCAGGCCGCAGGTGTTTGCCGTGGGTAGCGAACGCGCTGTTACCTTTTCTGGGGGCTAACGCGTTCACGACCACAGAGAGAAGTTTGACACCTCTTTAAGAAAAGCAGAAACGTTTATACGTCTACGAAATTTCGTCTGGCTTGCGAATACTTTTCTGTGCACTGCTCAAAATCCTTGAAAAAGAATTCGTTGCCATTTAATAAATTCTTGTTTATTTGTAGTAGTTTATGAAACTCGTGGTGTCTTTAAAAGTTGGAATACTCGCATCTCATTTATAGAGATGTGATACCAGAAATCTAAAAGGATGCGTGCAGCGGTAGTAGGGATGCTCTTCAGTACGAACGCAGAGTGAGTTCAACCACGCACCTGGCCCATAAATTATCCCATGCCTCTGGTGTCAGGAAAGTGGTATTAGATTCCTTTAGGAGCGGATGGTTCCTTCCAATAGACGAAAGGTGGGGACGGAAGCAAGTGTAAACCAAATCCACAAATGGAAGCGTTCGAAGCAATCCGCGGTTTGTTGACGATGAGAATCCGGAGCTGAAGTGGAGGAAGCAAGTAGCTATGCAAGATTTCAAAAACAGCGAGGATGCCGTAAAGAGAACAAAGCCCACATCAAAAAAGCCACCTAAACGGTGACCAAGAACGAAAAATGTGATGCCCAGCTGGCCCTTGGAGCAATCAGAACTAACTGGTATCCTTTTACAAGACAGTGATAAATGGATTCTTCCCTGGGGCCTGGTTGCTCGACCATCATCGCGAAAATTTGAAATGTATGGTACGCTTAATACGATAGAGTGAAGTCTTTTTCATAATTGTACAAATTTCCAAACTCCTGAAGCGACTGAGTTATCTTATTCTCCGCTATACACAAAAAAACACGCATCTTCAATTATGGGATGACAGCAAAACTTTTCGAAGGACTAATTGCTGACTAGTTGTACGAAGCCCAAAATTAACACAAACTTAGTTGTTGTCGAATGCAATAATCAGATGATACCAGACATAGACGTGTTATATGTTAATATTAAGAAATTGATTCTGGTTTAAAAAAACAGCGAGTGCTTTCATCATAACTGCAGTTCTTGAGAGCTTAGTATACTTCTAGAAAGGAATTTGCTTTATTTATATCAAGGTGAATATCAATTTCCAAAGTGTTGTTCTACTTTTAAAATTGTTCCAAGCTAAAAATTCCAAGCACTTGAACATTAAACTTGAATTTTTGAAGTTTCTATCACAAGTTCGTTGTCAGCAAACACAAACGGCTCATTCGGAGACATCGTGAAACTCAGCTGGACAAAATCCCGTTTGTTCGCCTACTTTTGTGTTCGAGATAGGAACAGCAACGTGAAGGAGCGACAAAATTGCGACTTATGCGCTGTGCAAAACTAGAATTTCGTCGCAGTAGATTAAGAAAGCTTGTTTTCATAAAGCTATTGATAAATTTGAACTCATAGTAAAACGTTTACATCGTTTATACTCAATATTTTCTCAACGACTATCAACAACATTATACTACTGGACATGGTGCCAGCACTTCAAGAAAGCCATGTTGGGTGAAAATCGCCGGTTTTGGGCTAAATTCTTCAGCTTGCTACTGCTAGATCGGAGATATCGGTAGAATAAGCACGTGAATATTGCGTTGACTGATACAGATGATTGTCGGATGACATCGTAGAGTCCAAGAAGTATTCCAGCAAAAACGATCAGGAAGATGCGACCAAGTGCTTCTATAACATGATTCATGGATGCTTTCCAAACAACAACGTTTTGTGATCTTTCCCCAAAGGCCTAGGCGAGTCCTACTTTTAACGATGACGCTGCCCTTCAAAACTGACATAAGCTGAATGTCTTTCCAAAAGTCAAGACATGAGCACTGCTCAACAAGTGGAGGGAAACGCTGTATCCTAAGTAATTCATCCAAATATATGGCTTGGCTAACGCTACCAAGCTATGCATTTCTATCGCCTATTGTAGGATGCCCTCTCAACGGTTAACCGCCTCATCGTGGCTGGGAAGTGTTCCTCGGTGTCGGACTGCGATATACAGCGAGGGATTTGTCTCTCCGGCAGGGTCTCATAAGCTGGAGTCCGGCGTTTCCATCAGGAAACCTAGCTAAATGTAAACCAATACCAGGATCCACCACCATCTTGGTATTAAACAAGTCATGGTGGCAAATCTCCCTCTGATCCACAAGGGCGGCGACTGCATGTGGTGGTGACGACTGGGGCTGACTTTGGTCTGGCTGACGTTGGCACTCCAGGGAACCACAATGTCTAAACCAGCAAAATTTCGAAAGAAATAGAGGTTATACTGGGGCCCGCACAACCAGTGAGGACGGACCATCCGAGTATCTAAGTATTGGCGGATGCAAAATTGACACGTCAACAAGTGTCTGGCTCAAAGGTTTAGGAATTTTTCCGTTTTTGTTGAGAATTCAAATGCTAACATGAGAATAATACCAGCTATTTTACTTTTACAAAACCGTGTATTGAGAATCTGACTGAAATAGAAGTTATTAGAAGACTCATAGATGATATCAAATAATTGTACGGCCTCCTGGCGAAAATTGAAGATAAGTGGAAAAGAAATGAATTCTACATTAACACCAGCTTTTCTATTCACACAAAAAACGAACAACCAAATAGCTCAGTCTGAAAACAATTGAAATAAACTACTTTGCTTAAATAAAGTATAGCAAATGTATATTACAAGATATATAGGTACTGCACTAAGTAACGAAAAGGAGAAAGCACTTGAAGAGTTGCTATTGAGCCTTACGATAACATACAATGGAAACTTTATCGCTTATGTAAACGAGTACAGCACTTGAAGTGGTGCTCATGTAGTCGGTAAATTCATACTACCACACTCCTTTCACTATCGAATTTTCTATCACAGATGCCCTGTAACAGCATCAAACACTGGTAAAGTTCTACCTCCTTCTTTTAGCGTCTTCATCATCACATCATCACAACAGGCGCTGCTCCCAATAATGATATGCCTTCATGAAGTACCGCCTTACTTGCCGATAAAAGCAATAGTCTTGGGACGGCTACCTGAAAGAACTCGCACGAAGTTGGATACCTGGGAAATAGGCAAGTCGTTTTTTAGGTCACCTAATACAAAGCGAATTAAATATGCAGATAATTAAATAATTTGTCGGACATGTCGCAACAGTTTTCCCATAACTTTTCGTTGCCTTGCAACCGTCATGGATGCATTTCGTTGCATTTGCGAACGGGTTTGAAACAGTGAATCCAGGTGGGCTACACATGCAACGAACGACAACACACCGACACATCTTGGAAGTATCGCTCCAAATCGTATTGATTTTCTGAGTATCCACCCCAGCGCTTTTGATTTGTCGAATAACTTCACCACCTCCTCCCATTACAAATCTGCGTTCCTGCATTGATGTCGCTCATAACAAATTTGCCGACGTACAAGTTCCGTACCATCAGTTATCGAGATTTGTGAGAAAAAGTTGATTGTATGCTTGTTCATCTAAAAGAATGTATAAGGCTTAAAATGGTTAGTTGGGATGACAGGTCATGAGGTGGGCAGTGGACATAACGGTCACGCATCTGCCAAGTGATAGATCCCCTTTCAATTTTGGTTCTTAGTTTTCTTGGTGGGTGGTCACACTACACTTGTTTCTGCCCCATCTAGAAGAACACATTTTAAAGTCCAAACCTACATAGAGTTCTATGTTTTATGCCGCTTGGGCAAACCTAACTGAAGTGATGTTTTCGGTGGCAGTTCAATAACCACTACCAATTTCTTTAGATTGGATCTTTTTAAGCCTTGCTTTAAAGCAGTGCTTACTCCGTTGGAAATGAAGGGCAGGTGAAACAGCACCTTAATTTTCTTCGAAATCGTTTGCGGGAGTGGCTTTTGCTACAAATCTATCCCAAGGAGTTCCCGTTTCGCAGCCATTCTAAATGGCTACTTACCACATTAAGTTGAAAGATTCCTCCTTTTACTTCGTATGGAAAGAACGTAACCCTTTCGAAGTGCAACCCTCTTATGACCTTATGGTGCTTTCATACGAAAATTAGGTTGCCCCTAAACGGTTCATCACGTAATCTACGTTGATGTATACATCAGTCGGAGATTATCGACCCTTCGTTCAGCGGATTCACATAAAGCATTCGGCACCTCCACGCAGAAACGCCGATTATAACAAACTTATGCCACACTTAGCCCACCGGATCACCCTTGGACCCTTCACTAAAAGCAGTAAAAATACCGAAGCAAAGATAGGAGCAACGTATTGAGCTTCTTTGTTAATTACATGCACCGAAAAATTATTCAAACCCACTCTTCAATGAACTCTCAATGAACTCCAGTATTAGAAGACGAATGGAAATCACAATTGGCAATGCAACCTAGATGAGAATTGCTAGTCACTGTCAGTTTATTTTGTAGACCAACTATTTCTGGATTAAATTATGAAAAAGATCGAAGAAAATTCGCGAAATTCGACGACCCCATAAGACGCGCACTGTATGTAGCACCAAAATTTCATTGATGAATTCTTTTCCACGAGGATACTGAGATATGAGCAAAAACTCGGAACTCATGTGGGCTTTAAATCCACGACCACCCACACCAGTTGCTCACCTGCTACCCACACCAACTGAGGATGTTTCTTTGCCTTTCTCCCACCCATGTTTCTACTCCATCAGTAGCTCGATAGAAATAGCTGAGAGACGTGCGAAACAAAGGACCCGCATGGTGTGGTGGTGAACGCTTTACTCCCCGGAAAGGATAGTAGCGCGTTCGTTCCCCACCATAGACACCTGCGGTCCAGAGTTTTGCAAATATCTCAGCAACGTTGTGGTTGTATTTCGCTTAGTAACCTGCCATGAAAATTATAGAAGACAGAAAACAAAACGTTAAACATTGTGATTTCAACTACAGCCATAGCTTAACTGGGTTCTATGCCGATTTGCGCTCCCCAGATCAACCCCGCTGACGGGTGATTGCTGTGGCAAAAAGATCGATAGAAATAGCTGAGAGACGTGCGAAACAAAGGACCCGCATTGTGTGGTGGTGAACGCGTTACTCCCCGGAAAGGATAATAGCGCGTTCGTTCCCCACCATAGACACCTGCGGTCCAGAGTGTTGCAAATATCTCAGCAACGTTGTGGTTCCATCAGTAGCGTCAGAAGATTTATTCCTATTTTTACTTAATTTTGCATGACCTGTCTTCACATCTACTCTTTAGATGCTACCATTTCCTGCTTTCGATTCGTTTACTCTCATCTATCCTATCATCCATTAAAGTCTTTGCAATTCGATTCGTCTACTCGCATCTTCCTTATCATCCATTAAAGTCTTCGAACTTCTTTCTGGTTGCGCCGATTCTCCATGGAATCCTAAAATACCCGGGATAGAGCGTTTCCATTTGGACTGCAGGAAATAAGCTTTTCTCAGAATGGTGTCGTACTAATGTCCCGATTATGGTGAAATGAGAGTCTTGCTAAACCTGCGACGTAGTCGAACCAGCACTGCGCTCGTGATGAATCGTATAATTACTACTGTGCCACCTGCCCTTCAGTAACGATTATAAAGTACGAAGTCAGAAAACGAACAGTGAACTTACACTGCTTCTCAATGCGAATGAAAGAACTAAAGGCAAAAGTTGTTGGAATTCGCACAAGATGTGACACTACGTTGTGTAAGAGAAGAAATAGCAACATGATTCGAATCATCCAAAATAGGACTTCGCTGTGAAACTGTCATCATAACAAAGGACTGGTAGCAATTTGGTCAATGATTAAATAGCACGTCATCCCGGAAACTTCATCCCGGAAGCTTAGCTTTAGTGAACTCAATGGAAAGAATATACCAGAGTTGACCATTTCATGAACTCTTCAGAATCTAGAAGAACTACATTTCCAACAGAACACAACGCGCACAATTTAGGAATTTACAAATAATCTCTTGAGATCAGTGGAAGTACTACTATGAAAACCAAGGCCTTACACACAATTCAACATTAATACTTGTGAAAATACGACGAGAAAGCTTCAATGAGACACTAAGATTCGATGTATACCACATCCAGATTCGAAGAGCTTTAAGTTTTGATACTACGAGCATGGAACCAAAAAGGAGAAGGTTTTGCTCAGAGTAACCTAATAAGGGTAAGAAATTTATACATCTTTTATTCACTGACAAATATTACTGAATTGTAAAACGACAGTTATATTGAACAACTTACATCAACAGGTTCACCCTTAACTTTCGCTTGACGTGTAACTCTACCGATGCAGTGAGATAAGTCGATAAGATATACAATCAATTGGCAGGGTTCATCTTTCTCCAGAGACGATAGAATCACCTAAGACAAATCAACTATGAGATATACCAGCTTAAGAAGATCAGTTTATAAGATCATATAAATAAATATATCAACTACGAGATATATGAATCTGTGGAGATGTCTGAAGAAAAGAATTTACTGAAAATCTTTGGAAAACGAGACCAAACGCTTCCCAACGCTTTCAATAAACGACAAGGATGAATGCGTTTTAAAAAAGCAAAGAAATGAAAGTGTAAAGAATATACCTCAGGAAACCGAGAAAGATGAACAGCCAAATTTGTGAAATCAGGTGTTTCTTCCGGAATCGAGTCACATTCGTCGAGAAAGGGTAGTAGTTCCGAATTGTTTTCTTCAATAGAGCATAATCGGCTGTGTTTCACCTGCACACTTCATTTAATAAACTCGAGAAGAAGCACTCTTTTCTTTTCGAAGACTATCCCTTTGAGATGAAATTCACTAGTATATGCATAAGAACAGAATATTCCATTCTCACTCACCTGTAGTAATAAAGCATTGTTATGGCTGAGATCAAATGCATTTTTAAACGAAAACTCATATTCAGCAGATTTTGCCCGTTTCAAGTCATTAAATATCAAGGTTGATAAGGAGAGCTGGTATGCCACCTGGAATTCTAGGAGGCAACTCAATGACAAGAAAAACATGATGATTGATTTTTCAAAACCTCACCTCTCGTGCCTTCTCAGGCGGCAGCTTGGTCGTCTTCGACTCCTTCATAAATTGCAAAGCTAACTCTTTTCCACGATCAATAATTTCTCCAACAATTTCTGTACGACCCGTTCTAAAAAGAACCTCGTAGAATCAGAAAACATACATGCCCACATATCAAGAAATAAATGTATTAGACCAAATTTTTGATTCAGGTCAACAAAAAACAACAACCAAATTTTTTATCAACGCCAACAAAGGACTAATTCACTGGTAGAGCGGCAAAAACGAAGACAATCAACTTATTATGAAAATAACTGCTGCCTATACAAACGCTAATACCAAAAACCGTAATTACCTTACACCAGTCTGAGCACCACACTATCTATAGGAATGGGTTAAAATTCCTGAAACTGTGGTCGTCACATGTAGAACAGAAAAAGTTACATTTTTTGCCGACTCCTAGCTGACATTGCGTCCACAATACCTGCATGCGTGATGATTTCAATTTCTTTTAATTTTCAAAACAAACGGATGCTTTTTGTATCTGCTAGTGACAATTTCCATTCCGCAACTTCTTTTTTACCAGTGTCTACTATAAACTCTCAGGCGCCAATTTAAAAAATCAATTTTGATATCTCTTGTCGAAGTGGACCAGTTTCGGTTTATTCTTGGGTGCCGGAATCGCAATTTACAGCAGAAGTTTGACCTACCCAGCTGCAGGAATTCCACATTCAATCCGAAAACTCAGCTAACACTTAACAAGTCCCAGAAATCATTCAAATGCACGCAATGAAGAGCCACTTGCTGCCGGATGGCGACATCATGGCAAAGCTTAAGCATAATTTTTTCAGAAAAACAGATTCGTATGGTATTCACGCGCTCAAGAACTATCTATCCGGACGTATATAAGACTTAAACATCCCGACCCGATCAGTCCATTCTTATTTATCAAGTCCGTGTTTTTATCCTCCTAGACAAGTTTGGTTACAACTTACCAATCCCGGAGAAAAGGTTTGGTGATATCAGAGCACAGAATCAAGCCAACGATTAAACGTGTTTTGTAGTTCATCCCTAACCACTGCGTTACACACACGTTCGACGGTATTAAAAGAAATCATCAGATGCTCAACTATTAAAATGGAATTATAAGGAAATCCACGGTGAACACCATTTTAAAATTGCCCTGCAAATGTTAACTGAATTTATGTTTACAATTTTGTTCTACTTTTAAAACTTTAATTTCAATGACTTACGATGACCACCTGGTGGACACAGAACTAGTTATGCGTACCAGTCATTTGAAAAAAACTTATTCACTTAATGTGTTTTTATCGGTGGATAATATCTCGACAAGTACACAAGATACTTTGAATTTCATTGCATTTTCATTCAGAACATACCTCGTAGACAACCCTTTGACTCTTCCGTATGGTACATGCTCAATTTTCTCGGCTAAGTCATTTCTTCCAATTCTACTAAGAATGGCTCGTAGTGTCTCAAAATGTTTACGTTGAGCACGATCGACAACGTACATGTATAGATCTGCGTGAAACAAATCGTCACGATGTAAAATGGATGCAAGCTCTCTAAAATAAAACAATGAATTAAAAAAATGTATTAGTAAAAGATCTAGCTGCACTTGAAAGATAAAGTATCAAGGGTGAAGCCCTTGGCGTTGATCCCTAAGGGATGCGCTGTGCATTCTACTTCACTAACCATCGTTGGAGATGACTGAATGTATATCTGCCCTTTGCAATGACTTATGGTGTCCTACCCATGTATCGAGCCAGTGCTGCTATACTCCAGACAAATCTAGTACAAATTTGCCTACCTCAGATGGCTGGAGAGCCTGACGAGCCTGTGGCGTGGTATCGATTCTATATGTATTGCAAGATACCTCTGACCACTGCGCAACACGCGCCTCAGATAAACGGCCTCGATAGATCTATAGGTCACCGCGAGTCATAGTGAAGGCCCGATGTGCATTAAATACCCTCTAACGATGCTTACTGAAGTCGAAAGCAAGGCGCATCCCGCAAGGATTGATCAGTTCTGAGAGTTTCATCCTTCTCACTTGAAACTTAGCCACAAACAATCACATCAGCGTACCTTGACAAGTAAATTGTGGTATCATTACTCTTCCGAACAATCGCATGTTCCTCCGAATCACCACGAGGTAGATCCACAATCCAAAGGCCGGTACTTGTTTTTCGCGCTATATTATCCTTAATAAAATCGGAAACTAAACAGCGAGCACCAGTCACATATGCGGATTCGTATTCCCATCTAAAACCAAACAGAGTCATGATGAATAAAGGTAAGTGGAATAAATAATTCTACAAGGACACGAGAACAAAGTAACGTAAACAACTGCCCGGTCGAAGTCAATACTGAACAAACTGTAGAAGTGCTTCAAATGCCGCTCAGATATTCCTCGTACATCGTTCCAAAGCCGCATTTCTGGAGAAGAAAAGTCACCTCTGCAAAGATTAACTCAAGTCTTAGAATAACTTGCTTAGAAAAAATAAGTCATACTTTACAATCTTATTTTCCATTTCAGCGAAAGTCTGGCGCACTTCTTCCCGAAAGACCTCATCTATTCTTCGTTTCTTATTTGCTACTATATAGCAGTCCGTGATTGCACGTATTTTTTCCACATCGCTGCATGAGTTCCAATATGAATCCGATGGGCGAACCTAAAAACAGAAAGCTGAAAGAATATAACGCTATTACATAAAAGCCGCCCACTCAGGAATAAACAATAGGGTAAAATTAATCTGGGCAACATTTACTACGGTAACACACCTTCCAGATTTCATCGCAAAACTTCTTTCATGGAAAAATTGAGCTAAAAACTTTAAAGGAGTCCTCAAGTTTTAAAATAAGGCATGAAATAAGAAATAGCATAGTCAAATGGTTAAATTAAAAGCCGATAAACACCAATAAGGATATAAAGCACCAACTAGACACTTGGTAACCTTTCTGTACAAAACGCATATCAAAATGATTACTCGCTGTGCTTAGATAGAATTAATAGGACGAAATTGTAGAAATCAAATCGCTTAATAACTCAAAAAACCGACTTTATATAAATCTCGGCATAAGTATAGATATAAATACGATATATATATATATATATACATATATATATATATGTTCTTACAAACTCTCCTTGCTGGACTGATGCGAGGCTGCATAAGTTGTTGTTGCTCCCTCCATGACTGATGCTTCGGCGATCTCGCTTCCTCAGAAGCGTTCTGTTGCGTGTGAGTGTTCTCTGAGGCTCTGAGGAAGACGAAATCACCGAAATTTAAACCATCAAACAACAGCAACAGCAACAACAACAACAACAACAACGACTTATACAACCTCGCATCAGCCTAACGAGAGCAGTTCATAAGAACTTATTGATAAAATCAGTTAGATTGATAGTAATAGAAGAAAATTGCACTCTTGGAGAATCACGAATTTGCATTCAAATCCATTGTGAATAGCTAGTACCACCTAGCTTAAAACTCATTGCCTTCTAAAAAAAATGCAGATATTCTCTAAAGATAATAGAATCATCTCTTTATTTCGATTTGTTGGAGTTTAATACGTTGACTGGTGAATAAGTAGCGTAAGTTATGAAATAATAATTCTGAACTGGAGATCGAAACACAATAATCCATTTATGATGCATTTCCAAACGATACAATAAGACTTTAAGAAATAAAGCTGAAAGATAGGCTTACGGGATTGCTTACTATTCCATTTGTACAGCCTCCTTCCGATCAATGCACCTGACGTGTCAGAAGGACAAAATTCATATTTTGAGTTGGATTATGTAAAACATACAGTTGTTTGGAAAACATCTAAACCAACACAGTGCTTTCAGCAGGTTAAAAAAATAAGCTCCCATTTACCGCAACTGTGGTTGATCCTTCGGAGCTTAGAAATAAATACAACTCTACCACATTCACTTCAAAAAGGGTTAAGCTTCGAATTTAAGAACTTCAGTTACCACTTTTCCACATAACTACCACAAACTTCCTTATCGAATCTCCGCAGTTCCCACCAAGATAAGGTCATCTGTCACAAAACTGTCTCAAAAAAGCTCATAGCTTGACAGTGATGGATAATAAGACGTCTTTGGTGAAGAAAACATTTATTCTAGAATAGTGTTTTCCCGTATTTTTTTAACAACTACAAAGCATTTCATTTCATTTAGGAGCGTTCAGCCTAACGAACAAGCAAACTAAAAGCAGCGATTTCCTTTCTGTTGCAACTTTAAAAGCCCTAGCCGCAGAAAAGTCGACCACGTGCACGATGATCATAAGGTATAACCACAATAATGCGGAAATGTTTGCAAAACTCCGGACCGCAGGGGTCTGCGGTGGGATCGAACCCACTATTACGCTTTCCGGAGGCTAACGTGTTCACCACCACACCATGCGAGTTCACAATAGACTTAATATACGAATGGAATAATTTTGCATCGTGTGGATCCAAATGTAAGCCAGCAAGGTAAAAACAGTTAGTGAATGAAAAGGGATAAATTCATCACTAAAATGAGCATGCTACATTAGTAAAACCTTTATTTCCGACAATTTTAACTGCGAACTCCAATTACAAAACTTACTTTCGGCCAGTATGTCGCTATCATTGCAAACTGTGTACCCCAGTCACCAAGGTAGTTCACAGAAATCACTTGATTTCCTATGGCACGATGGACCTGTGAATATGTTGAATTCAGCACATAACATTTCAAAACCGACGTTCCTTTAACCTCGGTATGACTAATCAACATGTACTCTTCTTTGATAAGTTTACACAAGCTTGTTATATAACGTTTATTCGACTAACGTTTCGATATCTTCGTCTTCATCAGCCGATGATCTGAGTCGATGGTCCACAGTTGCTCGTTTTTCGATGTGGCGTCTTTGTCTTCGAATCAAGTCGGATCTTCTTCAGTAGAGCATGTCTCGAATGAGGCATCCTCACCCGAAACGTTAGCCGAATAAGGATTATCTATCAACCTCATTTAAGCTTACCAGAGAAAGAATACATGTTAAGCAGCGGATAACCTTTATGTGATGAAGTACACCAATCTAAACGAGTTCCTTTTCCATTCTTTTTACATCACATCAAACTTTTTTTTTTACGAAAAAACATCGATACAGAATCCGTACGCTTCAAAAGTATATGAAAACAAATAGAAAAGATGCGAACTCATTTTGATAAAATCAGAATGAAACAGTTGCATTCTTAATGATACTGGTAATGGTAGTGAATTGAAAACAAACCCTATCTAGATATCTTCCGATTAACGTCGAACGCAAATTCCCAATATGAAACTGCTTCCCAATATTCGGACTAGAATAATCTATGACGATTTTTTTGCATTTTTGGTTGTTCACTCGATCTGTCAAAAGAAAAACTTGCATCACCGACCAGTACCAAGCTGCAGATCTGTTCAGAATTGGGAAAAAAAAAGAAGAAAACCAACCAGAACATATCGCTTTTAAAGCCCCAGAAGTCCGCAACTGCCGCAAATAAGCAGCGTTCATCTGCATGGAATAAATGTAAGCAGCACATACCATAAAATATGCAAAATTTGTAAGAAAAGCACTCAATAAACAAGTAGATGTAGGGGAATTGAAAAAGTGATCCACTGGAGAGATATAAGACTAAAGCATTTCATCCATTTGCTGTCAGATAGATTCCGTTTAAAAAAATCAACCCTGGGGCGAGCTTATGCCAGAGAACAACGATCTGATAAGATCACCTTGGTATGGAAAGTACTGAACCGAACCTGTTGATCTCGACCTCGTTCTGAAAAATAGAAGATATGAAGCTTAGAGCAAAGTTAGTGGGTGGTTCCAAAAACCGCTGAAGAATACTTGAGTTAGTAACAGAAATGTGACTGATGGATCGGCTTTACGATGAAGAAGAATGATGAAGGACGTTAGTCCAATGAGCTAAAACTGCGACTACAGCTTACTGGTGACTATGAATGATTTAATTGGATTGATAACACAACTGCAATGTGCAAAGACTATACTAACAAGAAATTCGCCTCTTCGGCAGTAAACTAAAGTTGAAGGCACGAAGTAAAAGTTCATGAAACCGTCTTTAACCTGTCGATATTCTTTGCTTTACCCAACTAGAAAAACTCGTTACAAGTTAATAACACTCAGTATAACTAGCATAACGCTCAATAAGTATTGATTTCAAGGCGCGCATTGTGATGCAACGTGGACTATAGCATTGATCTCAATGAAATCTGCCTTCGATGATTACTTTGTTGTATACAACCTTTTCTGCACAGATTTTGTATTCATTCAATAGTCCATACAACACAACACTGTATTAGGCCAGATAAAAGCAACACTATACATCTAATAACTAGCAACGTGAGCTTGTAGCGCAGTGGTTAGAGGCGATCCTGCAATACACATCGGATCGATCCAGCTGTCCAAGCCCTCCAAGCCTTCCGCCCCTCCAAGGTCGGGAAATTTGTAGCAGACTTTCCTGGGAGGATGACAGCTCTAGCTCGATACATCGCTAGGCCGTGAGTCATTTTACAGGAAAGATATGCACTTAATCGCCTCTAACGATGCTCAATAAAGTCGAATGCATGACGCATTCACTAAAGATTTACCAACGCCAGGAGCTTTATCCTTTACTCTTTTAATAACTAGTAAGATTCCAACGATTTACCGCCTAAGCAGTAAATCTCCAAAAATGGTGATTATGCTGGAGCCTGCAAAACTAGTGATGACGGGTCGTTCAAGTAACAAGTAAGTATTGCCTTCAAACGGTTTACCACTTCATCATGGCTGAGAAGTGTTCCCGGGTGTTGGGCTACGATGTACAGCGGGAATATATCCACCCGAGGCAGGGCTTCACAAGCTGAAAAAGAGTCTGGGGTTTCATGACCCACTATTGTCGTGGTATCAAACTAGTAGCGTGGGGGAAATCTCCCTTTGATCCACAAGGGTGGCGACTGCCTGTGATCGTGACGACTTGCTCGGGTCACACATTAGCCAGACTGACCTCAGGACTCCAGGAAAACCACAATGGCTAAACTAGCAAGATTCCGAAAAGATGGAGATTTTGTTGCGACCCGCACAATCCGTGAGGGTGGGCCATCCAAGTATCCGAGTAAAATACCTATTTTACTTCGAAATCTGTGTTTGAGCAAATTCGAAATAGACAAGAAATTTCACGAAAACTGGTACACATTTAAATCGAAAAAAGCGATCCTTTCTACGATTTGGTTTTACTGGAAAAACATCATGAGTTGCAAGAAATCAAGCAAATCAGGTACTGTTGCACCTACGATGCACACATAGTCTGATTTCGATATCTTTTTTTCCTTGAAAATCGTTATGATTAATCGTGGTTATTGAATGAAAGAGGAAAGCAAGAGAAAAAAGTACCGAAAGAGGCTCAAAACACTTTAGTAATGTTGTTGGTTATCGCATCAGTTGTAGAAAGTCCGCAAAACGGCGGAGTATTAGCCGTCAACGATCACGACCCCTACACGAAATTAGCCGTCGCTGTGAAAGGCTTAGCTGAGCGACGTATGTTCCTCATTACGTATGAAGTTCATAAGTCAACTTCTAGAGCAGTATGAACTTCAGAGTCAATAAGGAGGTAGAGTAGTGTGAAACTGGAGTGTTTCTGCAACTTACTACATTTTCGGTGTAGTAATAAGCATAAGTTCCCAAGCGGTTAGGTGGCTTGTCTTAAGGTGGCTGATCCGTGCTGAATGTCGGCTTTAACCGAGATTGGGTTTCCTTCACGCTTGAAATGATGGGTTTCGTCTTTCTGCTGCATTAATTTAGTATATAATGGTGTTCTGTTGAAAGAACAAGTTGTAATACACCATTCGTGCTGCGAATCTCCTTCACTGAGGAATCCTGAGCCGCCTAGTCGCAAGAGAACGTGAAGCGTTCCCAGTTGGCAGATAGGTGGTTAAACTTAAGCCAAAAGTGACCTTACGGTTTCCTGAAAACCATGTGGGCCAGCCGATGGACCCTTGTTTCCGCTAGCACATACCTTTGTTTACGAAGAAATGTTCATGAATGCGTGTGTGGGTGTGTTCGCGTATGTGTTGGTTGCATTCCACAAGTCAGTTCTCCTAAAGACCTACAATCAGGTAACCAGTAAGTACGCAGCGGATGGCTCAAAGTCGTCTTCAACGAATAAGCTCTGCGTCCACTCGAAGAGAGACTAGAGAGCTACCTCAGAGAATACTCGTCTCCCAAGCCAAAGCATAATAAACATCGTGTTGCAATTAATCGCCGAGAACAGTTTTAAGGGGCCCTCATGTTGATTACGAAAACTAAATCTGACATGCAACGTAGGAAGTGACTAGCACAGGGCGGTTGATAAAATCTCAGGGCTATTCTAGGCCACCTAAATTTGCAATAACCGTGGTGACGACGTGTGCTTGCAACATTCGCACACTCACATGTTAGTTCTCGTTTGAGCACCCGATAATACAGCCTGAGAGGATTAAGCATGAAAGCGAACACCTCCCATCAAACACCGCTTGTAACACTTGACAAATATTGTTCCTTTGATAATGAAAAGTTGGAGAAATTAATGTCCTAACCAACTTACCTACTTGGATACTTCGATGGTCGTCTTCACTGGTTGTACGGGGCCCAGCATAATTTCCATTCCAAATATTTGCTGGATTAGCTATTACCCTTTCCTAGAGTCCCGAGGTGAGCCTAGCCGAAGCCTTCCTCAGGTCGTCACCACCCCAGGCATCCGTAGCCCTCGTGGATCAGAGGGAGGTTTGCCACTACGCGACTTGTTTAATGCCAGGATGGTGGTGATTCCTGGCATTAGTTTACTCTCAGCTGGGTTTCCGGATGGAAATGTCGGACTCTTTCTCGGGGTTGGGGTGGGATGGTGATCAACCCTCAGCTATACATCGCTGCCCGACACCCAGGAACACCTCACAACTATGATAAGGGTGTAAAACGTTGAAACATTCTCATCAACACAATTTTGAAACTCACTTCGATCCCTTAGAACAAGCAATAACCCGAATTGGGCGACTGAAGTAAACAAGATGTGGAGGAATTATTTTTTTGAGAACCTTCGTCGTCCATGCACTAACATCACGAGCTATAACGATGGAAAGGTAAATTAAATGAAAGGTAAATTGATTTGTGATTCTATTAGGTCGAATGCTAAAGTAACCTTAAGCAGAAAGTTTCAAAAATTACTAGATCATTCACAAAAGTCAGCTTCAATTAAACAAAGCAAAATCGTTTACGGAAGCGCGAGCACTAAAAATGTGGTCGATAACGTGCCTGAAATGTCAAGGGTCACCGTGTTGGGAGGCATAACTCTGCCTGATGACGCGCGCTCGCTATTAGAATTAGGTCCAAGCTTCTCACCAGCGCAACCCATTTCTAAAGAAACCTTGCGTAGGATAGCGTGCAGCCTGCACGAGCTCCAAGATCGACTCCGAAGCAACGCTAGAATTGAGACACAAAATGGAAAAGAACAACGAGAAGTAGGGGCACTAGCACCACCTCCATTTCCTCGGTTATTCCTTAGACAGCAAGACCCAAAAGAAGTCGATATAAAATTTCGCATTTTTTCGAGCGAAACTCTTAAAGTCCTTAACCACTACCGCGCGAAAAGATTTAGTTCGAACCTGACAGCTACGCAAAAATCTGGTAGGGCACTACCACCACCTCCATTTCCTCGGTTATTCTTTAAGCGAAACTCTTAAAGTCCTTAACCACTACCGCGCGAAAAGATTTAGTTC